GTATCGTGTAGGCGGATGTCTTGGAGACGTTGCTAGCTTCCGATCCACTATCGTCCTCATATTTGGTCTGGCCGAGTCTGCCTTCGTGCTCACGATCACGGCCGCGGCTATCTGCAGAATGGGGGCTATTATCCAGGTTGCGGTCCTTATCCCGCCGAGAAGGTTCGCGTCGGCTAGAGGCATCTGCGGCCTTATCGGCTGGACGACTGTTCGGCTCGGCTGCTGCAGCCGAGGCAGCAAGGCCCGCAACAGTGGCTGCGGCAGCAGCAACACCAAGACCAGAAGAATTCGTATCGCGACTCTTCTTGGTGTTGGCGACTTCCTCGTCGGCGGCGCGGACCGGTGGGCGAGAATCATGGTCATAGTCATGGTCATGGACGCGGTCGCGCTCACGGGCTCGTTCCCGCTCCCGCTCCCGCTCCCGCTCCCGCTCCCGCTCTCGTTCGCGATCACGTTCGCGATCACGTTCCCGGTCGAGGTCTCTCTCACGCTCACGTTCTCTTTCGTGGTCACGGGGACCGCGCTCACGGTCGCTCTCTCGTATACGTTCCCGCTCCCGCCGGTATTCGCGGGGGTCTCGGGGATCGCGAGGTTCGCGCTCACGTTCGCGATGAAGTTCGTAGTCGCTCTCTCGGTCAGGGTGATCATTAATGTCCCAGTGGCGCATACCCTCCTGTGGATGATGGACGTACATGTCGTCGTCTGTCTCCTTGCGCTTGGGGGATTCAATACCAAGCCGCTCAGTCTGGTCCGGGTGGCCACGAACAAACTCTCGGTCGACATCGTTGTAGCGCGAACCGCTGTAGTCCCCACGGGGCTCCCGACGCTCCCGACGCATGCCCTCGTCGGTGTAAGCGTTACGGTGGTCGTCATAGTATCCACCGCCAGCAGCACCAGCGCCGCGCCCAGTCAAACTACTATGCGATTCTGGATGCTGGTGGAGCTTGTGGTCTCTGCTGTTGACGAGAATGCCAAAAGCACGATTGGCGGCACCGCCATCAGCGTAGTACTCTTGGGGCGCACGGGCACGTTTGCGGTCCCATTCGTCGTCGCGCGCACCGTCTCTTCCTTTGTCCCGGGGCCCATCGCGCTCACGAGCAGGGTCGCGGTCCCGCTCCCGATCCCATACACGGTCACCATCGCGGAAGGTGCTGCGATCGCGGTAATCGCGATCTCTATAGTCGCGGTCTCGGTCGCCGCCCCGTCTCTCGCGCGATACGTTATCGTCACGGCTGCGGTAATAGTCACCCGGTGGGTTTTGGTAGAGGGATGCTGATCTCTGTCGGGATGCGCTCTGGCTGCTCGAGCTGACAGAAGCTGGCGGCCCAAGGCTCGTGGTCGCGGCAGTACCAGTAGCGGCGCCGTGCACCACCATAGGCCGCATTGCACCCACTGGGTCGTAGCCGATCGGAGCCTGTGCAGACGAAACCGACGAGGTCGTCGTTCTGTTGATCTTGTCCAGCCCCCATGTAGTCGGCGGGGGCCCGGTGGCGCCAGCGGCACTGTTACCGCCAGCGGGGCGCCGGACACTCGACTCGTACCCATATGGGCGGCCCACTTCGGTCGCCAGGTTGACCGTGGGGCGGTAGTAGTTGCGGTCAAAGCTGTCGCGGCGGCCGCGCCGGGAGGAGCCAGCGTGTTCATAGGTCAGATCATAGCGAGCTAAGTCACTCGGCTTAGTGTATTCGTAGCCTTGGTCGCCGTAATTGTTGCCACCGGAACTAGCCGCCGAGCCGGGTGGGACCGCGCTCAGGGACGCCGACCCCGCACCGCTAGCGATCGAGCCGCCACCACCGGGGCCAGGCACGGCGACGCTACCGTGGCGCGGCATATTGACATATGTTGGCATGAGCCGCGAGCGTGGCAATGAGTCCACACGCGGGGCTCCATGAATGGAATCATGGCGTTCGCGCAAGCGGCTAAGCTCGTCGTTGTCGAGCGTGGCGCTCATGGGTGCACCAGAGTACGAGTACCGGGCATCGCGGGTCCGCAGGGCTGCAGTCGACGCCGGCATGGCATAGTAGTAGTTATCCTCGCGCGTGGTACCTCCACGCGCGAGGTCTGCACTGGGCGTGCGGAACTCGCCACGGATGGGGGACGGAGGACCACGGCTCGCGGTCGCAGAGCTGGAGGGTGCGGCTGAGCTGCCACCTGTAGTGGTGGTGATAATGATGGGACGCTTCTGCGTAGACTCGTTCATGGATGCTCGGTGGGTTCGGGGTGGCTCGCGCAGACTCGTGCTGCGGGCAAGCGGATCTTTGGTGACGGTGTACGTGCGCGCGGTGGTCGTAGGCGGAGGTGGGGGCGGCATCGAGGACTGGTGCTGCGTGTGGTGGTGGTGGTGATGAAGATGGGCAGGGTCCTGGGAGGCACCAAGTTGATGCTGATGGTGAGGAGGATGAGAAGGCTGGCCCGAGGCTGCGGATGCCGCCGCAGCGGCAAGTGGCGGCTGTGTCTTGTGCAGCTGTGGCGGCGTTGGGACGGCTGGAGCATTGCGGTAGTCCACAGTGGCCTGGGTCCGCGGGGTGATCGGGTCGTCGTATCGGGAGGTCACATGCGGCTGCGAGGCGTGAGGGTCGGCCCCGTAGACGGCAGACGGATAGCTGCTGCCAATGTTTACCGGCATCGAGGCCCGCGCTGGGTTGTGCAGCGGCGGCGACCGCCGGCCGGAGGGTGCGGGATAGCGAAACCGCGGGTCCATTGTGCCCACGATGACGGCGGGCGTCAGATGTGCAATGAGGGGGTGGTGGGAGACACGTGTGGAAGACGATGCCAGTGTGGTAAAAGTTGTCGATCTCGAGGTTGTTGATTCGGGGGGGAACGGCAAGATAGAGGAAGCAGGTAAGAGAGGAGAGGAGGTAGAAGGAGGATACAAGACGACGGCTCGCAGCCGGGAGGAAAGTACGAGGCAGGGCTGTTGGGTTTTCTGCCTCTGACAGGTATGCTAGCACGTGAGGAGGATGGTCGGGCAACTTTGAGCGGAAGGTGCAAACGTGAGAGCCAAATGCGGGCAGGTGGGGGAGGGGTTGTGGATGGAAAATAAGATGGAAGGCGTTGCAGCGGCCCGCGGGGGGGTGGAAAACCGCAGAGTTTCCGAAAGTCGGGCTGATTGGGAAGGAGCAGAGGACGGCCGGAAAAGCAAAGCGGGAGCGATGCAGTGTGTACGTTTTGTGTTTTGGAAATGCGTTCTTGCCTTTTCTTGCACCAAGCAATTGGGCAGCTCTTGCAAGGCAGGGGAAGGCAGGATGGTCTGTTTACATTTTATCTACTCCCCACAGGGCAGCTACGCAACAGGGAACCAATACGGCGGTCGCAGGAATTAGAAAGCAAGCGTGGAAATGCAAGGGGCATCTGGCGCGTTCCGCAAGGCGTGCTCAGCACTGTCTAGGCGAGCTAGGCTAGTGTGGCAGTTGCGGGAAGCTAAAAGGGCTCCCCATTCCAACTAATTTGCAAGGCGATGATGTCAAGTGTCTCGCGGCGTTGGTGGGCATTGGGTGGCGTCAGCCATCGACGATTCGGACGCGAAGCCGTTGATCCTGCAACGAACGGCCAGCAGTGTCTCAACGCCTCCTGATCGCAGCGTACGAGCGTACAAGGATGCTCGAAGACGCCGAGATCCAGGCCAGTGAAGCTGCTTCTCGTCTCTTTGGCTCGGAATGAGCATGAGCAAGATCGGATGGCACCTCACACGCCCGTCTCCATCTTATGAGTCGTCGAGGAGGGGGCAGGACTTGCTGAATGAGTGATGCGTGACGGAGCACTGGGCTGTTGCTTTGGATCGATGGGCAGATACAGACCCTCTACCCTCTGTGCCACCGCGTAATGCGAGTATTGCCGATAATACACGCCGGTTAGGAAAGGAGCAGAGGATTTTTAAAAACACACAGCAGAGCCCGAACACAGGGCGAACAAGGAAAGCCCGATACAGGAGCGAAGAACGAGCAAAGTGCCAAGGAAGGCAAACCCTGCAGCAAGTCAGCTGGCGCCGTGATACCAATATGACAGAACCCAATAGCGAAGTGGCCGAGATTTCTCATACGACCGGCCAGTTTGCCACAGCGTCGTCATGGGATTTGCAGATTAGGGACGCACAGCGCAGGGGACACAGCAGAGACGGCCCTTTATGTTGGAACGAATAAGGTGTGCGAAAAGCCGTCCCGGACTAATGCCTACGAGAACCGATCCACCGACCAGATTGCCAATGGACGAATGTCGGACCATTGGCGAGAGCGAGGATGCAGGGCAAAACTTCCTCTCCCCTATGCTGAGGTGCCGAGACATGTATCAGGATGCAGGCCATTTTTTCCAGACGCCATCTCGAGCTGTGTCGGTTGTTGGTGGAACGGCAGTTCCTGGCGACGTCACCGAGGAATTCCTAGTATGCGCCTCCAAATACCCTTTACCCTGAGGTGGAGGACTTTTTCGAAGCACTTGAGCACACTCGACGCCGTGGTCTTGGGTAAGTGCGTGCCTTGACAAGACTAGGCCGTATTTCAAAAGTGTTTTTTTTTCTTTCTTATTTTTTCTTCTTTTTTTTTCTTAGGCCGCTCAAGTTAGTCACCTCGGGTTTAATCGCCAACGGCATCTGCCACTGGCCTTAGATCGGGTCGTTCCTGCCCTATATAGCCTAGCAGTTGACGGGGTGGCGGTTGCCTGCCTCGCGTGATAAAATTGCGGACCTACCGGGCCTAGCAGGGAAAGAGCAGAAGCCCCGCGGCTGTCGTTCGAGGCCTTTTGGCTTTGACCGGGATTTTCATCTGCCCGACACCGAGTTTTTGCGCAGGCCACACAATGAAAACACCGTACGCGGCCTTACGTCTTCGAGAATCTTTTCGAAAATGATGTGGCTGGGTTTGAGGACTGACACATGTTTTCGTCGGCCAGCATTTTGACCTGGACTCTCGACTTTTCGCGCGTTACCACGCCGTCTTTCTACCGACCTGTCTCCCCTTCATCTTCCCCAATTTCTCGATTTCTCGATTCCTTCCGCCCGACAAACCATGTTTCGCTCCGCCTCCGCGGCGGCAGCGGCCACGCGCGCCGCCGTGGACATGGCCGTCCTCGGCCGCGTGGGTGTGGCGCGGCATTCTGCACCGGCGTTGCGCCCTGTCACACACCACACGCCATTCGTTGCTTTCCAGCGCCGGGGCGTCCAGTCACGAGGCGCCGGCGGCGGCGGCGGCAGAGGCGGCAATGGGGGTCCCTTCCAGGCCATGCGTCCGCCCACGCCTGCCGAGCTGGGTGGTCCTCGCAAGGCCCGTGACTACCCACGGATGCGCCGCTGGGGTCGTCGCCTGCTGGTGCTGGGCGTGATTGGCGGCGCCGTGTACCTGGTGGACCGTCAGGTGTACGCTTCTGGCATGGCACGCTCGCTGCGCACGTTTGGCACGGGCTTAGTCGTGGCGCTCGACTACAAGATCAACTTCCGGGCCGACCCATTGCCAATCATTGGCACACCCGGCGACGTGGCCGACCTCCACCGGCGCAACGCGGAGCGGCTGTCGGAGCTGCTGCGGCACAATGGCGGGCTGTACCTCAAGATCGGACAGGCGATTGCCATGCAGAGCGCCGTGCTGCCGCCCGAGTTCCAGCGCATGTTTGGGCGCATGTTTGACGACGCGCCGCAGGACACGTGGGCGGCCGTCGAGAAGGTGGTGCGCGAGGATTTTGGCGGGCGGTCTGTCGAGGAGGTGTTTGGCGTCAGCTTCACGGGCGAGGCGGGCAAGGGCGTGATGGAGCGCAAGGCGCGGGCCAGCGCGTCGGTGGCACAGGTGCATTGGGCGCGGCTGCCGGACGGGCGCGAAGTGGCAGTCAAGATCCAGAAGCCCGAGATTGCCAAGCAGATTGGCTGGGACCTGTGGGCCTTCAAGGCCGTCGCCAAGGTGTACTCGTACTGGTTCGACTTGCCGCTGTACTCGCTGGTGCCGTTTGTGTCGGAGCGACTCATGCTGGAGACGGACTTTCTGAACGAGGCAAAAAACTCGGAGACAATGCGCGACCTGATCAACAACGAGCCGGCGCTGCGTGGCCGTGTCTACGTGCCGCCGGTGTACTACGACTTTTCGTCGCACCGCGTGCTGACGACGGAGTGGATCGAGGGCGTGCGGCTGTGGGACCAGGACGCGATCCAGGGAGCTTGGCGGGGCGGCAGTGGTGTCAGCTCGCCCGGTGTGCACGGTGCCAAGCTGCCCAGCCCAGATATGGATGCACTGCGCAACAAGGTGCGGGCCGCCGCCTCGGCGCGCGGCAATAGCAGCGCGCGGCCTGGCGACAGCGACGTGCGAGACAGTCTTGTGCTCAAACCGGAGCGCACAGAGTGGCGCGGCCCGCGCGGCAAGGGCGGGCTGGGCCTGAGCACGACGGACGTGATGTCGACGATGATCGACTTGTTCTCGGCGCAGATGTTCAAGTGGGGCGTGGTGCACTGCGACCCGCACCCCGGCAACATGTTTGTGCGGCGCAAGGCGTCCGGGCAGGCGGAGCTGGTGCTGATCGACCACGGCCTCTACGTGTACATGTCGCCGACGTTCCGGCACCAGTACAGCGTGTTCTGGAAGGCTATGCTGACGCTGGACCACGCGACGGTGGCGGCGACGTGCGCGGAGTGGGGCATCCAGGCGCCCGAGTTGTTTGCGTCGTCGACGATGCTGCGGCCGTACGAGGGCGGCGACGATACGTTCCGGCGCGGGATCGCCGAGGACCTGGCCGGCGGAAAGACGGCGTCGGAACGGCACTACGCGATGCAGGCACGGATGAAGCAGGGCATGCGCGACATTATGGCGGATGAGGAGAAGTGGCCCAAGGAGTTTATATTCCTGGGCCGCAACCTGCGCATTGTGCAGGCCAACAACCAGCGCATGGGCAGCCCCGTCAACCGGGTTAAGCGCATCGGGCGGTGGGCGAGCGCGAGCCTCTACGAGGACCGGGCGCAGCCGTGGCGCGAGCGGCTGGCAAACATGTGGCGGCACGTGGTCTTCAGCACGGTGCTGGCGGTGACGGACGCCGTGTTTTACTTTTACCGGGTGCGGCAGTTCCTGGGTGGCCGCCGCGGGCTGGAGGACCAGATTGAGGCGCAAATGAAGGGCATGGCCAAGGAATATGGCGTGGAGTTGCAGCACGAGGTCTTTGATGGCTGAGTGTGGCGCGCTGAGAACCAGACCGAAGTAAATCTGCAGCAAGATTTACAGCAAGACTAAGACTACAGCATGGCGTTTTGGTTTGGGTTGCACAGGACATATACTTGTACGATACCTTTCCCGACTGGCGCATCATCGGCTACGCAGGTGGCATGTTTCACGGACAGACGATAGAGTCGATGGAGATACAGAGACGGTAACCAGGCCGTCCGTCGCCGCTCGCATCATTTTTGAATAGAACCCATCTCACGTCGTTGCACTTTATGGTCTGCATTTTAGCAAATAGTGATGATTTCGTATAGAGCATTTCGTATTGAATATTTCGCACCGAGACTCGCACGCGTATTGTTTCCTCGTCATGATAAGAAGAAGCCAGAGCGGGACGCATTCTAGGTTCGGTCATTGCAAGAATACCCGGCGAGAGGGGCAAGACAAAACTCCCTCGTATCTCCTCTCGTCTTCTCCTCTTGCTGTCTCCTCGTCTCGTCCGTGCGTCCCACTTTGACCTGCAGTGCTGTTGGACCCGCAGACTAAGCTTCCTGGGCCGTCCTTGGTTTTCTTGGACTGCCTGATCTGAACCGTCCTCAACTGTCTCCTTTCTTGCTGTCCATCGCATCCGCCTTCCTGTCGTGGGCTAGTCTGTGCGGAGGCAAGGATCTCATCCGCTGGAGCCCAGCTAAGCTCACCATACATAATAGTCACATACCGGTTGACAGTACTCGGCATCTCCTGGAGCGACTTGAGCTTTCGAATACTCGCTGCCGAAGACGAGGGGCGATGGAAGAGACGGTGAATTTGTATCGGCGCGTCTACGGACAAAGTGTACTCAGTTGTACAACTCCGTGAAATTGTCAGCGCGATGCTGACAATTTCCCCTTGTCTCCTTTCCCTCGTCCTGTTCATTGCCCTAGTCATTGTTCCCGATTGTCCGCTATCTTCTTTCCTAATCCAAACAGCGATCGCCATGAGAGTTGCAATCGTGGGTCGTAGGGGATTTTGGTAGCTCTAGTCACCTTTTGATGCTCACACCCCCTCCACCAAGTGATTGCATAGCTCCTCTTTTATGAAGTCGTAAGGAGCGTAACAAGTCTCGTTCGGTGTTGCTGATGTGCATGCCACTGATGCATGCCACCGACAGACCGACAAACCAGTTGGCTAAAATGCAGAGGTGCTGTTGGTCCTTATCGGGACTTGCCAAAGGTCGCAGAAAGTGTGCCGTTCGCCGTGTGCACGAGACACGTTCTACTAGGGTATTCTGGACATATCGTAGTAAGTTGATACCGCCCAGTACGACGTACAGATGAGGAGCTTGTTTTTCGGTATCTGTCAAGCCGCAAGCCGGGTGCCTTTTGATTAATATAATGACTGGTGGTCACCCGCCTCCCGCCGGTGCTTTACTGCACGTTTGTCTTTTGCATTTGCCAAACCCGCGGTCGTCTTTTGTCGGCTCATCTGTGCCGGTCTGCATTCGACCCTGAACGAGTGCACATAGTTTGAAACAGGTTTAGCTGCCACTTTGCCTTGACGCCCTTCATCATGCTTCAAAAGACGCCAACGGGAACGTGGCTGCCGGCCTGGGTGCCCGAGTCCAGTGTGACGCTTTCGGTGCTTCTTATCCTATGTTCCATGGTGCAGAGTGCCGTATGTTGTCATCACCCTTCATGTGTGTCACCTTTGACTTGACTAACATCAGATCACGATCAGACCAACGGGTACGACGGCTCTATGCTCAACGGGCTCAACATCTTGCCGTCGTACCTCGACTACTTTGAGCTCAACACCGCTACCACGGGCCTCAACACCGCGTCAGTCTTCATCGGCGGCTTTTTCGGCCCCATCATATCCGGCGTCGCTGCGGACCGACTTGGTCGCCGTCCAGCCGTCTTTTGGGGCTCCGTCATCACGCTCATCGGCATCGTGCTGCAGACTGCCTCGCAGGACATTGCCATGTTTGTCGTCGCGCGCATCGTACTCGGGTTTGGTGTTGCTCTATCTGGAATTGCAAGCGGCGTCTACCTGAGCGAGACGTTCGCGAGTCGCTACCGCGCCTGGGGCGTCGGCCTTCTCAACGACTTTTATTATGTCGGCGCTCTCATTGCTGCCGGCATCACGCTTGGCACCGGCGAGTGGCAGTCGACCTGGGCCTGGCGCGCGCCCTCGCTGTTTCAGGGCATCTTTTCCATTTTGTGTATCGCGATCCTGCCATTCATCCCCGAGTCGCCCCGCTGGCTGGTCCACGAAGGCCACTTTGAGGCCGCCCGCGCCGCCGTCGCCCAGGCCAACTCCAATGGCGACATCTTCGATCCCGTGTCGGTCGCCGTGTACAAGGAAATCATCGACACGCTCGAGTGGGAGAAGAAGGACGGCCGCACCATGAGCCCGCGCGAAATCGTGCGCACCCCCTCAGCCCGCCGGCGGCTGCTGATTGGCATGTCGGCCGGCCCTTTTTCTTGCGTGGTTGGAAATATCATCGCGTCGTACTACCTCGGCCCCGAGTTGGACACGGCCGGCATTACCGATACCGTGTCACAGCTCAAGGCTAACGTCGTGCTCAATGTATGGTGCCTCTTTTGCTGCTTGCTGGGCACGCACCTCGTGGCCAAATGGGGCCGCAAACCGACGGCGCTTCTGACCCAGGTATTGCTTGTCATCTGCCTGTTCATCATTGGCGGCCTGTCCAAGATGTACGCCGACAATCCGGACGGCGCTTCGTCGAGCCTTGTGTACGGCGACGTCGCCGTCATGTTCCTGTTCCAAGGGTTCTATTCCATCGCATGGACACCGCTGTTGCTCCTGTACCCACCCGAGGTCATGAATTACTCGATCCGTGCCAACGGCCTGGCCTTTTCGAGCTTCATGCTGAATGCTTTTGCGTGAGTACTCACTGCCATACAGTGTGACTTGTGATTTGAGTCCTCTGGCCCTGACCCCGACTAACACAAACAGCGTCCTCTTCGTCTACATCATGCCAATTGGCTTGAACAACATTGGCTGGAAGATGTACCTCGTCAACGCATCCTGGGATATTGTCATTGCCGTTCTGATTGTAAGCCTTCACTCCCCATAACCCCCTGTATCCTTTACTGTCGTCCGAGTTATACTTACAAACAGGCCGTCTACTGGGTCGAGACCAAGGGCAAGACGCTCGAAGAGATCGACGCCATCTTCGAGGGCGAAAAGCACTCAGACGTCCCCGACGTTGAGGCCGTCCGCCGCGGCGAGAAGACCATTGATGTCGCCGCCATCGAGATGCAGCTGGGCGAAATGAAGCACCCTGGCGTTGAGGTTCGAGAGGAATAGGTTGTGGCGGCGGATTATACGGTGGCGTGCCGATGCACTTAGGGAGCTTAATGAGAGATTGAGATGGATGGGCTGCAACACAGTCTTTTTGGGGTGTAAGAGGAAATAGTAGAACACTCAATGGAATGGCAATATGATAGTTGACAAAGAAAGTATTCAGCAGCAATCGCGATATCTGCTTCATGGAACATTAGTGTCCGCAATGGCAAGAGACGCCCCTGGCGCACTTGCCCCAGAAAGCTCCCCACTACTGCCTGCTGTGGACAACTTTCCCCCGCGCTGCGGCCTGGCCCACTGAAAAGGCGGCTGGCGTGGCCCCCTCACTAGAACCCACCTGGGTCTGCCAGGCTCGCCAGGCCGGCGCACCATGGGCTGCAAATTTCTCAAGAGTTGCGCTTCCAATCTTTCCACAGCGTCGACAACCGCCTTCTCGGCCTCCGCCCTCGACGCACAACGCACGCCTACACGCACCCATTGCCCTTTCGTTTCTTTTTATTCTTCAATCTAGGAGGCAATTGACTGTCTTTTTCGCTCTACTGTCAACAGCCCCCTCCTCCATCGCTACCATGACGATCATTGCATCGCTCATCGGCAAATTGCTGCCGCCAGACTTGAAGTCGCCAGACGCCGCGGCGACGACACCACCGGCTGCCAAGGCGACTGCCTCCCCTGCTCCTGCATCCTCGCTGCCAGAGGCTCCAAGACAAACACCGACGACCGCCGTCTCCGCCCTCCAGTCTCAGCAACAGCCGCAGTCTCTTCCCCCGCACGACCATTCCATGTTCTCCTCCCGCTCCCTCAAGCAGCTCGGGCTTTTCTTTGCGGGTGCCACTTTCTTCGCACTTTCCACCACTCTGACACGGCGGACTGTCGCCCGCAAACAACTCGCCGCCCAGCTCAAGTTCTACTCGCCCAGCGGCTCCGGCCAGACGTCGTTGGGCAACGGTGCGGCCGCCGAGGCTGCGGCGGCTTCGGCGACCAAGGAAGAGGCGCCGCACGGCTCATTTATGGCCCTGGAGGCCCTGAACCTGGCCACGCTCAACGTGATGAGCTTTTTTCTCATGCTGACGGGCGGCATGTCGTGGGCGCTGGACCTGAGCTCCATGGACGACGTGCGGGCGCTGGCCCGACGCTACACACGCGGCCAGAATCTGGATGGGACGATGAGCGGTGGCGGAATGACGGACGAGGAGGCCGAGCGCGAGGTGGAGGAGTGGGTGGCCAAGATTCTCAAAAAGTCAGACGGCACCCTGATCGGCAGCAGCAAGAAAGGGAGCGGAGAGGACTCGAAAAAATAGATGGGGCCAGACAAAAGTTTGCTATTGATGCAAACCGGACGGACAGGTTGAAGAAGAATATAAAGTTCAAGCGATGATACTACGATTTACGCGTCAAGACACATTGTAAAATTTGGGCGTTGTAGGTTAGTTACAGCTTAACGAAGACACATCCATCTCAGATCTCATTTTATACTCTTATGTCCAGCATGGTCTACAGTGTCACGTGCCGTGTAAAAGATTTTGATATTTCGCATTGATGTGGCAATGTAACGATATCTTTTACTTTGACGTGTTCCTTATACAGGTAATACCATTTGATTCAAAGTTCATGTCGATTCCTTGAGAAGTTGGGCCATAGCGGGGTTGCGCAGCCTCAATTGGCACTGGAAAGGTGCTGGATGTCTGCAAAAGCACGGAAGCGTCAGTAGAAATCACAATACATTTGTTTGCACCCCATAAAGGATACATACCCGCCTAGCCCAATGGTCACCGCCGGTTGTGGCTCGATCGGCTTGCCGTCCGGCCCCATAACCATCTCGACCTCGTACACGGCCAGCAACGTCGCTAGGAACATGTATACCGTGGCCATGGCTAGAAAGTTGCCCGGGCACTTGCGCCGGCCAAATCCAAAATTGCCATTGGGGAACGGCTCGCCACGGCCGCCGTGTTCCGTGCTGATATACCGGTCAGGGTCAAAAATGTGAGCGTCCTGGTAAACGCTTGGGTCCATCGCCATCGCCTTGGTGTTGGCTAGCACCAGACTACCAGCGGGGATGCGCATGCCACGATACTCGTCCTCCCGCAGGCTTTTGTGCGGGATGACTAGAGGGTTGAGTGGAAGGGAGCGCTGGACTTCTTGGAGGAAGCGGTCGAGACGAGGAAGATCGGACCGGTCTTCGAACGTCGGCAGCCTTGGAGCCGACTGCGCATCACTGCCATCGACACCAAGCACACGGTCAACTTCCTCCTGGATACCCTTTTGCACAGTCGGGTTCTTGGCGAGGAACATGAGGTTTGAGAGCACAGTACTCCAGGTCGAGTTACCACCAGCAATGAAGACAGCGCCTGTGGCACCCTTGATGTCGCGCTCGGTCATGTCGATGGGCTTGCCAGCTCGGATACTTTCTTGCAAGCGCTCATAGTGCGTACGCATAAAAGACGGTGGCGCCGTGCCAGCCTCGATGTCCTTGAGCGAAGCGGCCCACGGCACGTCGTGGATCGTACGGATGGCCTTACGGCTGTTGCGGGCATGGCGTAGCGCCGGCGACGGGTTCAGCCATCCGGGCAGAAACCGTGCGGGCGGGAACAAATCGATGAGTGAGGTGCCGGCAATTCCGCCGTTGGTCGTGGCTTCGTTGGCGGCGGCGGCCATCGCACAGTACGGCGACGATACGTCCGTGATTTCCTGGCCAAAGGCAATGCGGAAGATGATACTAGTTGTCATCAACAGCGTGGCCTCTTCCCAGCGGTCCGGATGGGCCAACAGGTCAACCACAGCTTTGCGCGACTCGTGCAGCTGGATGGGCCGGAAAACCTTAACGTTGGATGCCGTGAATGTCTTCTGGAAGAGGCTGCGGTGAAGTTTGAACTGCTGACCCCAGCGCAAGAACGTCAACGTCAGGCCCCAGCCCATGACCTCGAAGAGCGCAAAGCGAGGCCGGTCGCAGTAGTTGGCACCACGACGGTCGAGTATCTCGGTGGCGGCGGCAACACTGTTGAGGCAGATCATGTGCTGGCCAAGGACCTCGACGTGAATGACGTCCGAGTCGTAGTCTGTGCCCCATCGCATGTAGTCTTCCTCCGGATGGTCGGCGCTGACATCACCAAGGTTGCCAACAAGAAACCGGCCCGGAGGACCTGGTGGTAGGGGAAGGGAAGAGTGTTGGGACCTGTGAAGGACCAAAAATAGAAGATAGAGTAGGACGGATGTGGCTGCTGTCGCCAACACGGCTGGTGACGACACTAACGGGAGGTTGCTGAGGGCCATGGTTGTGTTCCTCGGAGGCCGGGGCTTGTCTTGTTTACAAGTAGAAGAAAAGGTGAGTGAGATCGTGGCAAAGTTGATAACGAGAATGGAGAGAAAAGGTGGGAAAGACGCAATGATGTAAATGAAACGGACGCTGCCGGCACAATAAACCAAAGCACGGACGGAGCAATGGTGTCTCTGATGTGATGTATCATTTGATGTTCCAAAGGCCTGGTCGGTAGGCCGCTGCTTTCACAGACTGGTCATGGACCACTGCAATCTTGGGACGTAGGTCGCAGTGACGGTGATTGTCCGAGGAGTGTGAAGGTGTGAGGATGTGATGTGAGTGTAGTAATGGACGTGGGGTGATACGAGGGGCTGCAAGGAAAACTTGGCGTTCGGGCGCGACGGGACCGTCCGCTTTGGTTTCCTTTGCCATATGCTTGTCTGTGGCCTGGGCAGCCACTGTCAGAGGTAAGTGCAGCTGAAAACTCTGTAAGAGCTGGAGGAATACGGACCCCGAGCCTCAGGAACGACGATCTCTGCAAATGTATTGTCATATTCCTCTGACGGCTCTATCATTTTACGGCTCCGGGTACCTAGCTTGAGACTGGTGGTCCGCTGTTTGCACTTGGCACGGGGTTATGCACGGGACAAGTCCACCATGGACTAGATTGAGCTAGATATCCGCAGGGATTTTGCTCGCGGCTTGGTAATGCAGGGAATCGTGGATGAAAGGCGGCCAAGAGTTGGCGGCAGGCAAATCAGCATATGCTTGTTTTGCTCAGCTGTGTCCGGCTGCTCCATGGAGAGACGTGTGGGGGTCACCAATCTTGGGTGTGTCAACGAAGGACGCAGCTTTACGTACGTCGTACTCTCCGGGCTTTTCATGAGATGGGACCAAACATTGCAAACATTGCAAACATTGCAGACATCATAAGAAGGTATGCCGTTCCTTCCCCTTCTCCAAGACTCCCGATATTGTTTATTTATCACTGATCATTTGGGCAGGTGCGTCTTCTTCTGGCTGACATAAGCCTGGGCAAGCGTTTGGTAGGCTTTTAGTCTTATGATTATCGAGTCCGTATGTAAGACATTTAACACGAGTTCGAACTGAGAACACACAAACTACCCCGCGGCCATTCGGCTGTCGAGCCTTGCAGTAACTTATATTGCTCATTGTTTTCATGACTGCTGCTGTACGACGTATCACATATCATCACGTCCAACGCTGCTCACCAATCTCATCTTCGAGACATCCCTACTTCGTCAACGCTCGGCCAGCAACATCCCACCTTCATTGCCGGCTTTTAACAGCACTAAGAGTGCTAGGAGATTCTTTAATGCTCCCAAGGCACGTCCTTTAGCTTGACGTGGGCGGGTGCAGGTTCCAGTTTTTGTTCTCCGTAGGCTCCTTTCGCAGCTAGACAATGCCGCTCGAGTATTAACTGTTTTGAAGCGCATGCTGCTGCATCCTGTCGTTTGCTAAATGCTTTCAGCCTCGCCGGCGTACAACATACTTCGTACGGGTGTTCCGTTTGCTTATTTACCTGGTAGAAATCGCGGCCTGCAGCATGTTCTCTGCGCACCTTCCTCGCGAAACACCCCGGTTCACACCTTCCTAGACCGCCCTTTTCTCCTTCCTCTTTCTTCCACACCAAGTCAATCATTTCCCCCATTGTTGTGCTGCTCAACCCGACTTGCCCCCCATCTTCCAATCTTCGACAGCATAATTACAAAACCACAATGCAAAAAATCTCTTTGTTTCTGCCGTCGTATCCTATCTACTATCCCCTTGCTTTTCTATCGCTCTTGCGATCTGTTGGCCTAGCGGTCTCATATGCGTCGGTGTCTGTTGGTCCACTAGGCCATGCAGGTAAGAATGTACTTTTTAATAGTTTCAACAAATCCACGGCTTCCGGCCGCCTCACAGCGCCAGCTTCCCCTTTGGCTTTACTGACCTTTTTCCATGAGGCCCATGCTCACACCTTGTCTATCAGCAGTGCTCGGTGTATTCGTCACCAGGCGGCGTTTTTGAAGTGTTTTCAGCTGAACAGCGCGTCTCCGGTGAGCTCTCTGAGTCGGTCTAATGGCGCGGGCAAACCAGCTCTGATGATGTCTCGACGGAACAACAGTCTTGTGCTTCGGCCAATTGCTCATTTGACCAGCCGTTATTTTGTCCTTTTGTTCTCGGCCATACCACATACATCCCGCCCCTTTTCGCATCTGTCCATAGCTTCCCCACCCACCTTGCCTCAGCAGAGTCGTACGTCGTATCTCGCCTAGTCCCATCCAACCGCACGGACGTTTTTCCTCGACGGCATCCACCCAATAGGCCAGTCTCGCACTGGACGTTGTCTGTTCGCTTTTGCCCTTGCTCAAACTGGGCGAGACAGCCAGTGGACGCAAAGCAAGCCCGCATCAAAGAGCACCGCGCTTCCCCAGCAAGGCGTCTCCAATTCGAAGTTCGACTTGCTCCAACCAGAATCCAAATTCCAACAGAACCTCCACTCGCACCCATACAGCCACCGCATCTCCCCGGCCGGCAAGAAGACTACACTTCTGTGCTACGTTTTACGGTGCTTCTAGCCTGTTCTTAGTTCAGAAGCCTTCCTACGAATTAGAGGCGCACCGCAAGGTTCGAGAACGACCCTTGCCTAGACGCATCTGGTCTGGTCGTTTTCCACCTCGCCCGCGACTCCTTTTGCTACCGGTTCTTCCTTGCAATATTGCACAACATAACGCTTTTCGCCATCCGTTGCAAAGCATCCGACATTTTGCGCTATTGCGAGCTTTAGGAGGGCCCCACTTTAACGAGTGGTAGGAAACCTTAGTTGACTTCAGCTTCTGGGTTCTTTATCCCTCGTTTTTCTTTGGCCAGGCCGTGTTTTGACTTGTTCCTCTTTATTCGGCGCTACTAGCGAACCTTCTTTCCGTCTGACCTACGTCAGAATATTCGCCGTCTCGGCAGTCCGGTCGGAATCGACTTCTGGGCACCATACTTTGCACGCTTCAACACCTTCGTTCCACGTCGCACGCCGTGCATTGCTCTTCTGCGCATCTGCGCTTCGCTTGCTGCACGCCGCCTGTCGCCGATTGCCGATCGCGCAGCACCTTTCTTTCCCTCCACAATTGTCGCGACAACTGTTGGACGCCGGCCGACTCCTTATTCCCGTTCACCTCCTTCTTAGAGGCCGAACCACCCAACAGCGTCGCTTTTATCGCTCATCCACGTTCGCCCAGCTGAACCTAACCGCCCTCAATCATGGATGGCGGCCAGCCGCGTGCCCCGAAGCCGGCCAGCGGCCCGGTGAAGCACAGCGCACACGAGACGCCACCCGTGCCCACACCACCCGTTGGCAAGGCTGGATCGCCAGCGCAGCACACCAGCCAAAGTGCTCTCGACACAAAAGCGCCGACCTCGACCGACCAGTCTCAACCGGGCAGCTCACCCGCTACCGTGGGGAACAATGCCCAGCGCATTATCAAACGCCGTTCGCCTGTTGCCTGCCGCAGGTACGTGTGCTGGAGTTGGCCCATCTCCAATTTGATTCCCATCTGTGCTCTTCTCGGCGTCCTTCTTCGTCCGACCTTTGCATTGCCCTTCCTTCTGACCCTACTCCAGATGCCGTCGAATGCGCAGCAAATGCGTGCACAATGGCGCCAAACCGCCCTGCGAAGGTTGCCGCGCAGCCGGTGTGAGCGTAGAAGAATGGTAAGTCACATATTACGTACTTCATCTCGCTGCGATTCTCACCCCGCTCTCTGACCGGCACGCGTACTAATGTGACATTTCTTAAAGTGTTTTTCCCGCACGTGGCGCGCCGGATATGGATCGCGAGTATCGTCACCCGCGCATGAAGGGCGACAAGGCCCGGAAGGAAAGCACTCGCACACACCGAGCCCAGTTGGCAGGCGGCACGATATCCTCCTCACCTCCGGGAGGCGGCAGCAGATTGATTTACCCTAATGGAACGATTACAATTGAAGGGGGTGTGCCTCTACCTGCCGATCCATGGGATCTCTTACCGCCACTGGAGAATGTCATTGACGCCGTCGACATGTTCACGCGCCAGTACTTCCAGCTTGGCTTCATCCCACGCCATACGTTTGTGCAGCAATTGCGCGAGCAGCCCCAATCTGTCAGCGTGTTTCTGCTATTGAGCTTGCTCAGTGTCTCAGCGCGCATGACACCTTCGTTGGTCGAGACTCATGGCGGCGCCGGCCCCACGGCCGAGCTCTTCATGGACCGCGCGTCAGCTATTGCCCTCACAGAGCTGTACCAAGAACCGACCCTGGCGCGGTGTCAGGCGTTCTACCTGCTCAGCCTGGCTCAACAGGGCAGCGGCTACCGCAACCGAAGTTTCGTCAACCTGGGCATTGCCTTGCGTATGGCCATCCTAATGCAACTGCACCGTGAGGAGACGTATGCGCTCGACGACCGAACACCGGCGATGATACAAAAGGCCGAATCTGCCCGTCGAACCTTGGTATGTTATGCCTGTCTAGCCACAAACTTTTTGTTTTTCAAATATCATAAATATCCCGTACTAATAACCCCGCCTTTAGTGGATGCTTTACAGTAAGACAGTCCGCAATGAGACCGCTGTCTACTCTTGATGCTGACCTCTACCTCCTTTACTTCTAGGCCAAGACAATTTGCATGCCGGCCCAATGGCTACCATAGCACTTGCCCCAAGCGATATCACCACCTTATTGCCCAGCAACGAGGAGGATTTCAATAATGGTGTTTTGCCTGCATCCCGCGCTGCACTTGAAGACACCTCACCAGCAAAACTAGAGTCCGACTTGGTGAATATGCCGACGAGGTCTCTCTTTGCTACACTGATGCAGAGCCACCAGCTATGGGGCATCGTGTTGCGCCGTACAGTTAGCAACAACCGAAGCATGGTGTTGCCCTGGGATCCCAATAGCGAGTACCAAAAAATCAAACAGAAGCTCAGCGATTGGGAAAGCCGTTTGCCGGCAGAGCACCGCTGGAGCCGTACGTTGTTGCGAGATTACAAGGCCCGGGATCTGGACTTGGTATGTTTTCCCCGTTGTCGTATCTTTCAAAAAATATATGTCGAAACTACCCTTGTTTCCAGCAAACTAAGACCATCTGGCAGGCATACGTGGCCGTGACTATGGTTACCCGTCTTTGCAATATCCTGATTCGAAAGGCCTATCTTCCGCTGTATGTTCTAGCGTCGCTGAACGTATTCCTGTTTGCTGGTAACCTGTTTGTTTACTGACGTTCGTTTAGCATGCTTGTGGAAGGTAGAATAAAGAAACACAGGGAGTTCTGGAGGACTATGTCAAGCGAGCTCTTCTCGAATGTGAAAGAGCTGTTTACGCAGATCGACTGCTGGATTGAAGAACGGGAACCTGATGACGGCACAGGTGCACAGCTGGCGGTTAGTGACAAAACCTTCAACCACCTTCGACTGACGAGCTATTCTGGAACTCATACTGACTGACTTCGTTTAGATATTCTGTGTCTATAGCTGCGGACTGATGGCCGCGTATCTGTACAAATACCCCAAGTGTGAGTTGGTAGCCCACCATACAACTTTTCAAAATAAACCGAGTCTAACCTCAAACGCAGTGTGTCCTGATGCGGCAATCACTCGAGAGGGCAAGCACATGCTTGACCGAACAATGAGTATCCTGACTCAAAGCACGAGCGTGTGGCCGCTCGCCCGGCGCTGGATAGACTCTGTTGAGAAACTCCTCGCAGCCGATACTAAGACTTTGTCGATGATATCAAATTCTTCTCACGAGGGGGGCATGGCTGAAGGTGTACGTTATTCCTCGTCCTCGTCTCCCCAACCCATTTTTTCGCAACGATTTCTGACATGCCGTGAAGAAAGACCCTATCCCGTCGGCGCTACATCCGCCTCTGGCTAGTCTAGCACCTTCCGGGCCATCAAATACACCTTTCGATGACCGTCGGCAGCTAGCCCGACAACTCGGCGTCGACAGCCCGCACGCGCGGTCGGCCAGCCCCTCTGCAGGCGGCAACATAAGCAATGGCTCTGGCGGCGGTGCGAACGGCACGGGCCATGGCTCGATTCAATTGCCGCACTTCCGACCAGATGCCTCGCTGATTAATTCACCCATGCGGCTCCCTCCACCACAGCCGTCGCCCAACCTCGTCACGAATACGGCATCCGCAGCAGCGCACTTTGCGACTGCGCCGTCCACACTACCATCGACACTGGTGCTTCCACCGCCAGCACCACACAACCTCCAGTTGGGAGGCGGGGGCATGCGGACGCCAACGTCATTTGCCCAGGGGCAAAGTACACCGAATATGCAACACCAAAATCACCAGCATCATCAGCAATCACCATCCCACCAGGGTGCCGAGATCATGTCTCCGAACGGCAATGCAATTGCCAGCATGGCCAATCCACTAGCGGCGGTGCAGTCGGGTGTCGCGTCGACGCTGCCCCAGCTCCCTTCAATGCCTCAAGCCTCCCATGCACACCCGGATGGTCACAGCAACAATTTTATGATGCAGAGATACGACAAGGCCTCCACAAACACGTCGGAAGAGGCAGAAGCAGCCGCCGTTTTAGCTGGCGGCATGGTATCCCACGGCGTTGTGGGCTATGGTGCCAGCCAACTGCACCAGCAGCAGCAGCAGCTACCACCGCAGCATGACAATCCTTACGTTACGCAACACCTCTCTGAGCAGGGTCACGGCGTTCATACGGACCCTCTCAGCGTCAACGACATGTCTATGATGACGCAAATGCCGTCGGTCGGGTTTTACGAGCAGACGATGATCCCCGAGTTGCCCGACGATGGCTTCCAGGGCGAGCTGCAATACTTTACGCAGGGGCCGGGGCTGCAAGCGGGCTCGACGTGGGCTACGAATAGTGTTTTTGGATTTTAGATTTTTATGTCACTGGATAATTTCTGTGATCTGTTGTACACTAGAACTTAGTATGGAGGACGTTATGGGTCTCATGGCATATAGTACCAAAGTGTGCCTTACACTTGATTGCAGAATCAATTGAACGAAACTCGAGTTGGTCATTTCTTCCGCTCGGAGTAGTCCTGTGCTTTTACTGCAGACACTTTGAATCCATCCCGTCTAGCCACGTACATCGCCCGGTGGCGGTGGATTATGACCGCCCAAACTCTCCAATCGTTCTATTTCCAAAAGCCGTAGCTGAGCCAGATGTTTACATTTCCTCACGAAACGCGACGATGGATGAAATATAAGTCATACTCAAATAGGGAACCCTCGCCACCGACTGGGAAAGGTTTGTTCACCAAGGGGGCAATTTGGGGGATTAAAACCGGGCTAAGCGAGCTGTTACCGAATGAAACGGACGGATACGGAGTCAAAACTGGCCCTGATGGCGAACATCTGACTTGTTTATAGGGGAAACTGGCTCACTGGCAATGAAGTTCAGAAATTTTCGTCTACGAAATACTCGAGACCGTATCTTACGCAATGCGGTGTAGCGATTAGCAGCGCATGTATCTTAGTCAAGTCGCCTGCAGATTCTCACAGAAGCAGAGCATCTGTTGTGGGTCAGGTCGGGGATTGCCTTGCCCCGCTGGCAAGCTCTAAAGAGGACTTAGGAAAGGACGATGTGGCCGAACGCGCTAAGAAATAGGGGACCTAGGGAGGTAAGACTCTTGTATGTACCGATACACAGTAAAATGTACAATAAGCAGCAATTTCCCAGCTCAATAAGTCACTATACATCTAGCGGGACTCGCTGTCATTAAACTTGTAGGGAAGCGCGATCCACAGCAAGTGCACAATCAGAGATGAAATGAAGTCAAAAGAAGAAGAAAAAATGCAATGGGAGACGCGTGGGGCCAAACAAGCCAGTGGCGGAAAGAAGGGACAGTATTGACTCCGACATGGAAGGAGAAGAATAGATGCTGGGAAGGAGCAATCTTCAATAACCAACGGCATCAAAGATCATGAAGCACGAGAGCCAACTTTGCAGCACGCCAGCCTCTCAAATTAGCACAAAGGGAGGTCTCTTCTACTGAGCACGCTACCTGGTCTACGGCTCTAGCGCTCCCGTACCGGTTCTGGCCAGTCCTGGCACTCTCCTATCGTTAGTTCTTGCAGAGCCATTCTGTTGCGTTGTTTTGACACGCCAGGCTGCGAGCTAGATAAATAATGCCTGGGGCCAAAAGCCTGCCTTGACTTCATTCCCGCCCGACGCGTTCCACGCTCCATAAAACGGTTGTATTGTTTGCTTTGGGCGGGGCAAACACAACTTCGCGTGGCCAGACCGAACGGGGAGACACGAAGACGAGAAAACGAGGCGCATCCGTGTGTGTCATCTTTTGGCCGTCGAGTTTGGGTGGTTCGTAGGACATAATTTGCACTTTTCATGATCGTGAGGGCAGTCAGCTTAGAGGAATACGTGGAAATGGAGGACAGCGCACATTGCTTTACTGAAAACTCCGTAAGACTTACAGTGTGTTCAATACAGTCAGTCCAACGCGCCTTCCATACCTTTGGGAACGTTAGAACGAATTAAATTAAATGTACAAATAAACGGTAAAATACGAAAGAACGCGTCGGGGCCATGCATGGCCAGCCCTCGGCGAAATTGATTTGCTGCGCGAATCCACCACGACCTCGAACAGCAAGGCAGGTGCTGGCGCTCTGTGTCCGTCGGCCGTCCTTAATGCTGGGTGCTGGGTGGCCTCGCCTTCGTTATGTCCCATCGCTCCTTCCACAACCTGTTCCTGCGTGTTGTGCGCGGCCCTACGGAGACGCCCCCTGCCCTGCATCCTCTCGTCTGTCGGTGCAGTAATGATTTTTGTCCTCTTTTTCGGCCCCCCTTTCGTCTTTTCTCTTCTGCTCTGTCACCTCCCCTTTCTACTCCCCTTTCTACTCCCCTTCCTACTCCCCTTCCTCACCCCTTGCGCGACACCTCTTGTCTTGACGACCCATCCTTTCGTCTCTCTTCTTCCTTTTTCTTCGTCCCCCGTTCTTAGCATGTTTGGTTTGTGCTTCTCCTCCTTTTTCGTTTCTCATATTTCTCTTGTTTAATTTTTCTTCACATCGCGGTTTTGGGTTTCTCCTGTCTGCGCCTTTTGCGAGGGCTCGGATTCCCATGCGTTGAGCCCGGTTCTCCTGAATGCACACGACTATCCTTACGTGTCGCCGTCTTTCGCGGATCGCTCTCCCCATTCCAGAGACTTGGCTGCAGGCGAATTTGTTCTTCGTCTGCCGCTGATTCTCGCCGAGGTACGTTATTTTGCTTAGCCCATACATGCCCAAGCCCATTTATGTTTCCTACTTTGCTTCTTTGGCTTCTTTGGCTTCTTTTGAATCCGTGGCACCAGCCGTCTCCCAACCTACCTTAATCTTTCCCACCTTTTGCCGTCGTCCCGTGTTGCAGTTACCCGTCTGTCCGGGTTCAAACGCGCATCGCCTACCGAATCCCACAATTTGGATTCCGAACCTCTCTTGTTCCGCACCTGAATTTTCGTCCCTTTCTCTTAATCCTGGCGCGTCCGCGCCTCCCCCTTCGACCAGCCTTCTGCGATGCGCCTTTCTCACACCTCCAGCAGGTCTCTTACGACGTCTTCTCCACTTCCGACTCAACAAACCCTCCTCGGTGCTGCTGCACAGGAGGCCGACAGAGGACATCGACCACGAACGCCCTCGAACCCGGGTTCTCCGGCCTGGTCCACTGCATCTACTGCCGACGCCGGTCCTTCGCCGATCCTGCCGGCACTCGTTGCTCCGCGACTGCCCGAGCGTGCCCAGGCCCTGCTAGGAACACCGCCTCCTGCCGACGCCGCTACAGGCCAACACGGAGAAGACAGTCGCTTCGTCACTGCGAGTTGGGGTTCCCCGTATCCACAGTCGGACACGTCGCGTCACCTGCGCTTCTCCAGCTTGAGCAGTGACCCATCCGACGACTCGCCCATCCACCACCTTGAGATTCAAACCCCCTTTTTGCGGCCCGCCCCGTATCAAGTTGAAGAAAGTGAAGAAGACGAGGACGACCGTTCACCGGAAGAGGACCTGCTTTCATCCCCGCCCTTTTCTGCTCAGCAATCGTCATCCCTTGTCAGCGCGACTGTCCTCGCGAACCGTGCCCGGCGACCTGCGCGTGGCCTCACCGAAGACTGGATTCGCCAACACACCACTGGCGATTTTGGCTCTGAGGCACGACTCTGGTTGAGCGATAATAGCAGCGCAGGAGACAGCGAGAACTCTTCACTGAGCGGATCTGTCTCTGGCGACCACGACGAAGTCGACGAGCTTTCGCTTCGCACACCCCGAGCCATTCCTGTCAACCGGGCAGGCCGCTCTCCCAGCAGCTTGGTTTCTGCCAAACAGCAACCGCGCCGCAACCGTGCTCATCATCCGCGACACCCCTCAAGCCTAGAGACACTGCGTGAGTCTGATCTGAATCGTTTGCATAGAGCAGTTCTTGAGCGCGGTATCGACGAATCCAATTCCAAAAACGTGAACATGGCGACTGCAGACTCGCCTGCTGGCCCTGACATGCCCGCGGATCCCGCAGCCGATCAGGTGCCACCTCCGGCCGTGGCGACCGAAAATACTGCCACCGCAGCATCTACCGCGGCAGCACCTGCAACACCTCCGTCTACCAAGGCTTCCATTGTGCCCGGTCCGGAGGCCGTGCCACTTCCCCCTCCCGCAACTCCACCGTCCAAAACATCCGCCAGCGGCACCCAGCCAGACCTGTCTCTTGATCCACTCGGAGAGCTGGCTGTCTCCAAAATGGCAGCGTCCCCTAGAAAAACCCCACGGCGCGTCAAGAAGAAGCTTCCGTGGAAGGGAAAGAGCATCATTGTCTTGTTGCCCCTGGACGAACAGCGTGGCAAAATCGGCAAAGCTCCGAAGCCCCTCACAAAAACAGACGTGGACAACATGCTGCATTCGTGGGAGGAGCTGGGTTACGACGTCAAAGGATTCGATCTTAACCATTCGGTCTCTGCTAATGACCATGATTACTACGGCGAAGGGAGCCGCTCGATGAGTCGGCCGTCGTGGCCGGATGAGGGTGACATTGTGCGCGAACGCGCACAGCGGAACTACCCTATCCGACTTCCGGATCTCAACGCCTGGAAGAACTACGTTGAAGAACTGAATGAGGCCAAGCTGCGCGCTCTGGGTGTCTCTTTTGGTGACGAGGAGCCGCCTTTGCCTCCAGCCATATCGCCGGGCGCAGGCGCCTCCATCAGTCGCCAGTCGTCGGCCACTGTCTACCCGCCACTTCCATTCTCACCGCCTATCCCGACTTCGTCGGCATCGAGCAATCATGGAGTACCGCCTTTCACATTCCCCGGTGCCTTTGTCCCTGGCGCAAGCGGCACTCAAAGTCCTTCGATTCTCTCAACTGCATCACCCATCCCTTTCGGTGCCAATCCAAACAAGTACAACCGCCAGTCGATATCTATTCCAGCTGGTATGTTCCAACTGCCGCCTCTACAGCAGCAAAGTCCTGGTGGTTTCTCGCCTCAGACTCTTTTGATGCAACATGGCATCGTACGCGGTGGCTCGCCCTCTCTGGCTGCTCTTTCCTCAGTCATGTCACCGACTTCGCCGTTCACGCCCGATGGGAGCTTCACTTCGCCTCCGCTCCACCAGCGCCATCAATCTCTTCAGTATCCTATGATGCAGTACCCGCAACTCCAAACCTCTGCGCGCGCATCGCCACGGCTTCAGGACCTACGTGAGATTGAGGAAGAGGTTGAAGAACAGCCTATCAACAAGAGCCCGTCAAAGACTCCCGAGCCGACCAACAGCCGTCCCTTCATTCAGCACAATGCTAGCCTCAGCTTGCAAAATGAAATTGATGCCGCAGAGTACCATTTAGAGGAGCAGTTCCGCTCGCAATTTGAGCATGACCGAGACTACAGCCCGCATGGTGGGAAAGACCCGTCTGAAGGTTTTGGCGTCGATGCTGATGCGAAAGCTGATCCACAGCACTCTCGCGGTCTGTCTGTCCAATTTGCCCCTCCCCCGCCGATCCAGCGCTTCCGCGATGAGACTGAGGGTGGCCCGCCACTGCACCATCCCCGTCCTCACAGCCGTGGCCACTCTCTTGCCAACGCTTACTACGAGCCTGATGAGACCCGGAACAGTGGAAGCGGTACGAGCTTCACAGAGGGAGCCATTTCCACCGCTTCACAGAGCAATGCACAAAATAATGGTTCCCAGATCGACGATTCCTACGACGTGGAAACAAACCCGAGCAATCTTGGGACGCCTGTCCAGGGTCTTGATTTCGGCAACGTCCTGCAACCTCAAAAGGACCAGAAACAGATACATCAGCGCGCGTTCTCCACTGCAAGCAACCCTTGGAGCGAAGGGGCCTCATTTTCTGGCAAGGCAAGCTCTACCCGGCGCCCAAGTCATGGCAGCAAGGCTTCTCTCTCCAACTTGAATGTCGAGGCTCCGGAATTCAAGTTCAACCCTGGCGCTGCCAGCACATTCCAGCCGGCTGCTACCAACCAGTTCATGTTCGGCAGCAGCAACAACCCTACCAGTGAGCCTTTCCAGCCTTCCATCTTCCAGGCAGGATTGGCACCAAATGCCCCCTTGTCAGGCAATTCGAGCACCTTCAGCTTCCCGACCACAACTACAACGACGTCCAAGATCAATGCCAATGCGCCGACGTTCTCTCCTGGCCAGAGCGAGTTTAGCTTCTCGGCTGCTGGTCCCAAGTTCAGGCCTGATGCTCCCGCCTTTACTCCCCTTCACTCCTTCTCGGACTCCCTCACCAGCCCCATCCAGTCGGGTGGTGAAAGCAGCGTCAATGGCGCCAACCGCACTAGCTCCATCTTTGGCAACATTGATCTCAACTTGCCTGACATTGTCAAGCCTGTGAAGCGGTCCAAGGCCGTCCCTATTGTCCGTCCTTCCAGCCGCCAGTCTCCGAAGGCCAATGATAATTATGAGGAGAAGGAGAACGCGACAGAATACGACCGCGAAGGCCGCATTATCGATGACTCCCGCGTGAAGAGAGCTCGGGCAACCCCCATGAATGACGGTAATGACGAGATCCACTTTGCTGAGCCTGGCAATAATGCTCTTACTGTTGCATCTGCTACGCCTGAGCCTTCTAGGGAAGTCATTATGGATGAAATTGCCCCCAACTCCGAGGTCGAGGAGCCCGTCGAAATCCTCCCCAGCAAAGAGACAACCACAGCCGAATCTGACGATAAACACTCAGTGGGATCTGACGACGTGGCCGCTGAGGTTGAAACTGCTGAGGTTGCTGAGATTCGTACTGAGTCTGAGACTCCCCAGGCTGAGTCCGTCGAGAAGCCGCTCGAATCCGATGATGCCGAGGCCGAGAAAGCCAACCAAGACGAAGGTGAGAACGCTGTTGCTGAGGACAGCACGCTGTCATCGACTGTTCTCTCCGAGTCTACAGATGCTGTCAAGCAGCCGGCAACAACAAGCCCGTCAGACCTTTCTCCTGTCAGCAGCATTCCTTGGATGCCCTTCGAATTCAGATCAGATGTGGATGTCGCCGATTTCAATAGCGCTCGGCCCATGGGCGACGATGTGTTCCGGCACAAGAAGTCTCTTTCCGCGACCGCAAAGCCCTTCTCCCCTGGTGCCAGCTTCCAGGGCACCGTTGCAAACAGCTTCCAGGATGACTTATTGGCAGCCGAGGAAATTCTCCCGACGACCGAGGTTACACAGGATGAGCAACCAGCGGCCTTCGAGCCTTCGCCAGTGTCACCTAGTGAGGTTACGCGCTTCTCGTCCCCACCGCCTCCGCCTCCTCCCGTCGAAGCCAAGCCCAAGCCGAAGGGTCTGGCTGCCTCTCGTTACGCCATGTCTCCCCCTCGTCCGCCCCCCAAGACACTCCAAAGCTCGAGATTTACTACCTCTTCACCCCCGCCCGTTCCTAACAAGGACACCAAGCCAGTTGAAGAGACCAATCGCCCGGAGCAGCAGTCCATTACGTCTGGTCCCGAAGCCAGTCTCCAGACCGAGCCTGTCGTGGACGAGTCACCAGTCGCCGCCATTGACAGCGCGGAGCGTGAAGCCACTTTTGAGGAAATCGACGACATCATGCTTTACCTCAATGAGAACGACCCATCACAGGGCGTCAATAAGGCCCTGGATTCCGCGCCTTGGCACCAGCCCGGCCCTGCGCCGACTCAGATGTCGCTCACCGCAGCTGCCAGTGAGGCCCCGTTGAACCTCCCTCCACCCACTCCATCCCTTCCGTACCAGCAATTAGCTCCCGAGCAACCCATTGAGCAGGGCATGCCTGCGGAGATTGTTGATGCTTTCGTTGATCCATCTCAAAACGCGGTGCACTCATTGGATCCACTAGCTGCTCCGTTTCACAGCCACCATAGCGGTGGCAGCATGCCCCCTAGCGAGTGGGAGAGTGACTTCAATGGCGAGGAGCAACTCAAGCTCGAGTCGCGTGTCAACTTCTTTGACGGCCACGTCAACGATATTGTGGGCGGGATACTCGCAGCCCGCCTCGGCCCTCTTGAGGCATCTCTCGATCGGATTCAACATGCCATTAGTTCCATGTCTCGGGGCACGCCGCCCAGCCGACGTGAGCGCCGCAGCATATCCGGCGAAGTACAGGACAGCGATGCCGATGATGAAGATGACGTGCCTCCAGTTCCTCGTCGCTCGATGAGCCCCCGTCGGGACCGCCGCATGGAACAGATGCGTGCTGTGGTCCTCGAGGCTCTCAACGCCCACCAATTCAGCGCTTCCTCTCTTCAGCCTGCGCGCTCTTCATCTCCTACTTCGGCCGTTGGAGACGTTGTTTCCACCGACTCTGTTGCGACCATTCTAAAGTCATTGGAGTCCATGAAAGAGCAATTCGGTCAGTCTCTGCGTCTGGACTTCCGTGGTGAGGATCTCCGCAATATCGTCGAGGATGCGGTTGAGCGCCGCATGCCACAGACGCCACAGTCAGCCGAGCCAATCGTCGTTTCCAACGAGGACGAAAACCAGAAGAAGTCCGACGCCCTACAGGCTCGAATTACCGAGCTGGAGGAGAGCCTGCGGTTGGAGCGTCAGAAGACCGAGCAAGAGGTTGTCACCCGGCGGGCTGCGGAGGATAAAGCCGCCGATCTGCGCCGTGCACTAGAGACTGCTGAGACGAAAATTGAAGTCGAGGTCATGAACCGCAGCCTTTACGACCAGCGTGTCACGGACCTCGAAGACAAGCTCAAGCAGGAGGCAGAACACACTCAAACTGAGCTTGCCACGCGGAAGACTGCAGAAGATAGAATTGCAGAGATTCAACGACTTCTGCGCATTTCTTCCGATGAGGAAATGCGCCTTCGTGAGGCCGTTGATGATCGCGACGCGAAGTTGAAGGAGTTGGGCGAGGTGCGCGACAACCACCTGTTGCGCCTCACAACTCTTGAAGCCTCTCATACGACACGCGAGAAGACGCACAGCGATCTCCAGAACCGCCTCAACAACGCTGAGTCCGAACTGCGCGAACGAGAACAAGAGGCTCGCCACTGGCGGGCCGAGGCCGAGCGGGCCATTAACCTGTCTCAGGATCAAGGCAACGATCTTGTTCAGACCGCGACCGAGCTGCGTCACCTGAAGAAGGTCGTCGACACTCTTGGCACTCAGCTAGAGGAGAACGAGCGCATCCGCGACAGCTGGCGGTCCAAGTTCGTTGCCCTGCAAGAAGACATGGCGCGGGCTGCCCGCGAGGTCGCCGAGGAAAGCGCACGCCACATCAAGCGCGAGCAGTCGCTTATTGCACGCCACGAGGTTCTCGATGCCAAGCTCCAAGCGGAGGCCCGTACCCGCGAGCGCCTGGAAAGCGAGCTTGAGCGACTGGAGAACGGCGAACGCCAGGCTATGCGTGCCGTTTCTGAGCTGAAGCGGTACGAGGCACTGATCGGCGAGCTGCGCACTGAGAACCACAACTTACATAAGAACTCTCTCCGGTACCAGTCCGAGTTTGAAGAGGCACGCGAATCCGCAGCCAGAGAAGTGCAGCGTACGCGCGACTCGATGCAGGGCGAGGTGGACAACGCCAACCACCAAGTCAATGCTGTACGCGTTGACCTAGAAGACCAGATGGCCCAGCTGCGTGGCCAGCTTGAGCAGGTAAAGCTTGACGCCGACACGTCCAAGGCGCGCCTCGAGATGCTACTCGAAGAGGCCGAGACCACAAAGAAGACAGCGCTTGAAGCGGCAGAGGCCGACAAGCGGCACGAGCTGGAAGAGGCGAAGCGCGCCCACCGCAGCGAGGTCGAAGATCTCGAGGCACGGTACGAGCGCCAGATCAACAACGCCGCCGAGGACGCACAGCGGGCCGAGCAGAACCTGCTGGAGCGCCTAAGTATCTCGACCTCCAAGACGGAGCACCTACAGGACCGCGTAGCCCACTTGGAGGAGAAGCTCGAGATTGCGCGCGAAGCTGCACAGGCGGCGGCCAAGGCGGCCAAGGCCAGCGGCTCAGGGGCCGATCTGACGGAGGCGCGCTCTTTGGCGTCCTCTACGCCGGCCATTCCTCTGCAGCCGGCTGCCAACGTCCACTCTGTGTCTCATGGCATCGGCCTGCCGGAGAAGATCTCGCCACAGGCTCTCCGCGAGTCAATTATAGTGCTCCAGGACCAGCTCCAGCAGCGCGAGCACCGGATTGAGGAGCTCGAGCACACACTGGACAAGGTGGACCCAGAGGCCGACATCAAGATTGCGAAGCGGGATGACGAGATCACTTGGCTACGTGAACTGCTGGCCGTCCGCCACTCCGACCTCAAGGACATTATCACCGCCCTCGGCCGTGAGGAGCATGACCCGGATCGTGTCCGTGATGCTGTGATCCGACTGCAAGCCAACTTGCAGATGGAGGAGCAAGAGCGGGAGCGAGCGATGAACGGCGGTTCGGCCATCAACTTGCCAAACATTGCTGCTAGTATCCGCGATGCGGCAACGCCGCGTGTGGCTCAGGCCGTAGGCCCTCTAGCAGCTGCTTGGGGCAGCTGGCGCAAGGCGCGTGACTCTAACGCGGGCAGCACCTTCAGCAGCCTGTCTGGCGCTCTCCTGTCGTCCCCGGCGCCTGCCTCTGTCTCTAGAAGAGGCGGCCCGCCCGTCAGCTCGACTGCGACTCCGTCCAGGGCCGCATCCTCGTCGATCTCGTCCCGTGCATCCGGAACATCTCGCGCAGTCCCCGCCGAGCCTCAGTCTGGAAGCGACAGCAGCTTCTTGTCTGGACTCATGACGCCGCCAACGTCGGGCGTACGCCAGACCCCCCAGCAGCAACAACAACAACAACAACCGACGGCTTTCTCAAGCACCGGTCGGCGGTACACTGGAGGGCAACCCGGCAGCCGGCACGCGTCGCGTTCTGACAACAAGCTTGCCACGCGCGATGTGACGTCGACGCCGCCAACCAAGTTTCGTCGTGCTAGCCGAAGTCAGCCCGTCACGCCTCCGATGATGCGCACAAGTGCTTACGACTCGGACGCCCAGGCGGAGGAGTTTGATGACGCCGCTTTCTTCGACGACTAAATAGACTACAACCCCAAAATATTTCCTTTGTCGCTTTCCATTTTCCAAATGTTCAATCTTTACCTGCTTTGCAGTCTTACCACATTCATTCAATCTTTTTTTCTCTCTCTTTTTACTTTTCACCTTTTATTTTCTCACAGAATGGCACCAAAATATTACAATTAGAAATTGATACCCCCTGATCAGCACATTTTATCCCAGACTGCCGATTTAATACTTTTTATTTGTAACCCATAGCACGTTGTCAGCCATTACATTCTCCACTTCTTACTGTTCGCTTCCTTATTTTCTTTGTCTCTTTTCTCTTTTCTCTGTTTTTTTTTCGAATCTTTTTTCGAACCTTGTTTTGCCTTGTATTGCTTTTCTTTATGCCCTTGTTATCTTGTTACGACGCCATTCAGTCTGCATAGCGACGATGAGGAGGGATGAACATTTAGAGGCAGCGAGGGGGAAACTGGGTCATTGCCAGTCCAAACAATCACTTGAACCTTATTTTTCATGTTTCTTTTTAATAATTGTTTGTACACACTTAAATTTCTATTGTCAATAAAAGGAGGTAGAAGTAAGTGTTCGTGAGACAGACGGCCGCGGCGTGCATGTATTTAATAAATAATATAGTGATGACCCGTGTTTTCTTTTTATATGCAAACGTCGGGATTCAAACGTCGCGGAAGAGCCTCGGGGCAATGGTTTGCCTTTGTAAATGTCCATTCGTATCTGTCATCAGTGGCTACCAACCTGAAAACTATTTTGACAAAAAATAAAACCCATGGCCACGAGCGGGAATCGAGTAAAAGCGACAAGCCCTTGGCTTAGAACAAAAACTAGAGTTATAAAAAAGAAACGGAACCAGGCCACGTCTTAATGCCCATTGTCATCACAGCAGCCACCCGTCTGCTCGTCCCACCCCATCCAGCCATCGGCCCATCCACTCGCTCCTACACATCACAATAAAAGTCGAATTCGTCCGACGAGCTTGTCAGCTCGGTGAAAGCAGTCTGTGTTGCGGATGACGCGGCGGCCTTGCACTTGGCTGTTTGAGCGTCAGCAAAACGGTTCTTCTGTATCTACATTGGTGTATGCAACTGACTATCTTGTGTATCACAGTCGCCGACGCTAAAGCTCGACGATTTTTGGCTGTTGGCCGCATTGGCACAGCTGTTGTGCTGATTGTCGCAGGAGCGGTCGACAGCCGACTGGAAATCGGTCTGATGGAGACGAGACGAAACGGGGTTAGACAGCCAAGACTGCGAACGAGATGACAACGGTCCAACTATACGGCAGTCACCGGAGACACTCACAAAGGTATCGCCGTCGACGGAGAACGGCCGTGTTGCGTCGTTGGATTGGGAAATCTACATAGTCAGTTATGAGATCCTAGCGAGTGTGAGGGAAAGGTCAGCGCAGGCAGCCAGCCTACCGGTGGTGCGGCAATGTTGGAAAGTGCGCCTTGGAAGAACTGCAGGTTGGTCGCGGCGCGCGGCTTCAGCACATTAGCAGCTGCCAAGTCCGGACGGTCCGGGTCGCTTCTTCCGGCACCCCGCTCCACTAAATTGAGCTGCTTGTTGATGTTGGGTGAAAAGCGCAGCAGGCCGGCAGCCGGGGCTCCAGCGGCGGCAGCGGCAGCGGTAATGTCGTCGACAATCGAGGGAGAGGCGCGCACGACGGCAGCCGACCCGAGGGCGACGAGGAATGCCGTGGCGCACAGGAGCAAGGATGGGCAGGACGGTGCAGAACGCATTGTCGGCTTGTAGATAGCGTTTGTATTAGATAAAACGATGGTGATAAAATGGCGATGGTAGTCGTCTCGAGTAAACGAGAAAAGAGACTGAAAAGGAACAGCACATAAAATACAAGAATGAGACCAGCGACTGGGTGTTGGCCAGGAGAAGAATATGGGATGCTCGATGTGAACAGTAATGACGGAGCAAAAGAGAGTACAAACTGTGCCGCCAGGGCCTGAAAGTAATGTGATGCTTTGCAGAAATCTCACGAAAAGAAAGGTAGAATCATCAAAGCACAGATAAACAATGTCGCCTCCATCTCCCAGAAGCTTGGAGACAATTGTGAGGAAGCAGCCCCTCGCTCTGGAAAATGACGATGGCAGTCTGTGTGGATGTGATCTGAAACGATTTTGAGACACATCCGATCGAGCCACAATAGCGACCACGGCACCCAAAAATGTTGGCGCAGCTCAGCGCTTTGAGCGATTAGGCAAAATGCAAGTGTGCACGAGCAGTCAAATTGGTTGCACATAGGCTTTTGCTGCAGAAATCATAAAGACTGCGCCGATACGGAATACAAGCAAAAGAATGGCAATGGCGCGTGACTGCGCCAGAGGGCTGTGGTCTATCCAACGAAATTGGGTGGCGGCGGCATGTACACGCCATAATCAAAGCGCGGATAGAGTAAGTTCATATTAATATCACATACATATCCCGTAGATGAAGAAGGAATATCCTTTCAAAAAAGAAAGAGTCAAGTTGCTGCCCAGATATCACCAGGCCGCACCCGTTGTATTAGACATCTAAACTAGTCGTATAGCTTGTCGCAAAGCAGACTTGCAGATCTCTAACAATTGGAAATGAAATACAAGACAAAAGAAAACATTCCCTCTACCATTTTCGAGAAGCAATAGGGTACTGATGCAAGATTGATAGTGGTAGCAGCGGATTGGCGAGTCCTTAAACGCCGGATATCTGGCCGGCAGGAAAGACGACCAATTATGGACACAAAACATGAGAAGATATAGTGACTGATGAAGAGCAGATTGGAGGGTTCGAAAATGAAGTAAAGGGGGAGTTGGGTCGAGAAACAAAAACAGAACAGCGGAAGCAATGGAACAGCGCGCTGTCTAGAAATTAGATGCGGTGTTGACCTGTGTCGGCGTGTGGTAGCTCTCCAGCGTGCTCTGGAAAGGCGAGCGGCCGGGGGCGCCGGCCGCTGCGGCGCCGGTGGTGTTGTCGGGCTTCTCCAGTGCGCCTACGGGGGCGTTGCCGTAGTTGGGATCGTAGTCGTTGAGGCCATTGCCGCCGTCCTTGGCTGCCTGCTTGCGTCTGTGGATGCGAAGGGCCACAAGGCCGATGACAACCAGGATGATGGCACCACCGACGCCAACAACGACGCCAATGATGATGTTCCGCGTCGACGTGGACATGCCCGAGGCCTTGCTGCCACTGCCTGAGGATGACAGGCTGCCAGTGGGGACGGTCGTGGTCTCGGATGTGACGGCGGTTGTAGAGCCGTCAGCTTCTGTGAAAGTAGTGACAAAGGTGCTCGTGGACACAGGCTGCGTCGTCGATGTGGTGGAATCGGGCGGTGTGGTGGTCTTGTCCGTGGGCGACGAGGTAGTCTTGTCGGTAGGCGAGTTGGTCGGCGAAGGAGTCGGCGTGTCCTTGGATGTAGTCGGCGTCGACGACGTTGTCGGCGGCGTGCTCGTCTTGTCCGTGGGCGAAGGCGTGCTCGTTGTCGGTGTTGGGTTGCTCGTCGTGGGCGACGGCGAAGGTGTCGACGATGTCGTGCCCGGCGTAGAGCTCACCTGGGCAGACGGCTGGGCGCTGGGCTTGGTCGAGGCATCGCCGGTCGGCTTGGCGCCTCCGCTAGAGGCAGCACTGTTGTCGGCACGGCGAGCCGGTTGACGGCCGGCGTGGGCGGCCTCGGCGACACGGAAGAAGTCGGCATCAAGACGCAGGGCCTGGGCCGTAGCCATAAAGGACAGCGCCACGAAAAGCAGCTGCATCAGGCGTTTGGAATACATGCTGCGGCTGTTGTCGGAGTATCAACAAGTCGATGGTTGAAGGGTAAAAGAAAGATCGCGATGGAAGAGAAGAAAAGAAAGGACAGTAGAGAAGAGCCGTTGAGCGAGGGACGGTTGTCGAAATGACCTGTCCGGCAGTCCGGCCAAAAGGGCAAAACCGGAAACAGAACACGAGAGCGAAGGAGCAACGAACCCTGAGGGCGAGAGCAGCAGGATCGCTGACGAGGCGCTGCGTCTGGTGAAAAGGGAGAGGCGGACCGAGATGCGGAAAAGAAAAAAGTCGGCGGGAATTGCAGAACAAAGGAGAGGAAGGAAACAAAACAATAGATGGTTATGAAGAAGCAAACGAGAGACAAAGAAGTAGGGAAAGAACGACTGGGCCTGTTACCGTTGTAGGAGGTTAACCGGCATGGGAAGGAACAGAATTTTGGATGAACAAAACTGGGCAGGACAAAACAGGCATGTATGACAAGGGCCAGAGGACACCAAATCAAAGGCTCGTGTAGCAACAATACAGAAGCTGCGATGGAGGGTGGCGGTCTTGCGTGGCTGTGGCAAACCCGTTGCGCTGCATCGTATTCGAGAATTAGTGGCTCGAGTGGTAGGTGCGATCGCCATTTTGGGGACCGTTCTCCTTTCCGTTGCTCCTCTCGCTCCTGTCTCACGCGTGGCGCCCGAAAATCCAGTAAATTGCGTGGACAGAGCGTTTCTAGTGGCCGGTTTAGAGCCGGTAACAGGTCGCTATTTTCTTAGTAGTGCGGTGTTCCGGACAGGCCGCGCTAAAACCTTTTGACCAGGGGTTCTGTTTGGCTTAGTCCTTGCTGGAAGAGCATTTTTTGTGTCTTATTTTAGCTCACTGGCCGACATGTGCCCGCTGTTAGCGCCTGTTTGGTTTAAAACGGCTCAACGGGTGCCTGGCAGTTGGTTGCGGGAAAGAAGGGTCCATAACGGGTTTGCACAAAAGGGGAAAGAGACACCGGGGCCCGTTTTCGACAGAGGTGCCGTTTCAGAATCTCCCTGTTTGGCCGTTCTACTCCTTTCGCTGCCACCTCTCAACCTCTCGCTCCTGGTGCCTCGTGACCTCATCGAAAACGTCGTCCAATGTCATCAAAAGCAGGCTGCAAACGTCTCCAGATGTGAAACAAATATTTGGAGAGAGGGGGGGGGAGGAGACATTTCGACCACCAGATGCAAGGAAAGGAACCACCATAGCCCCCAGCGATCTACACACAACATAAACAGAAACAACAGCCAAAGCAAGCGAAGTGAGCGCATGTGAGAAAATCTTTCGAGGTTTTCAGGGCGATGTCGGGCCAAGTTTCGCCGCCCAGTTGTGCTAATCATCACAACAACACAGTCTCGACAGAAACTGGCCGTGAGGCCGCGTGACAACCGAAAAAAGAACGTCTGCGTTGCCACCGCCTGGTTTTTTCTACTACGGCTGCCCAAATGAGCAGCGATGGTTGCATTGCTGGTCATCTTACCTGTACGGCATACCTGTTACGGCGTACTTCGTAAGTAGCGAATTATGGCCACTGGGGTCCATCAAGTAATTACCGGGCATGGTTCCGCGATTTGATGGGGCACATCGCAGTGAATGGGGGGGTCGGAGCGTTATTTTGACAGGAAATTCCGGCAGCCCACACATACATCATGCTCCGCAATTTCCACCGTTTTGCAGAAACATGGTGAGAATATCCCGTTGCCTGTAGGTCGTCATACAGTATCGTCTATGTATATCAGCAGTGGAGGGAGACAACGCAAAAGGCGAAAAGCGAATAAAATACGACAATGTGGATGCCGTTGATCATCTCGATCATATTCTGCGGTGAGATGCTCGTTTCTGACCTGACTGTTTTGACGACCCGTTAGCCTGCCGATATGCATTATCTTACCTCTCCTTTGGGAGCTTAATCAGTTTGCAACATCCCGTCGAACGCGAGCCATGCAACCACGGCCATAACAACAGACAACAACGGCATAGAAATGAAAGGCACGGCAACCTCCGTCTTTTGAAAACGTTCATATACAGGAGACACCGTTTAAATGGCACAGACACGCCTTCGGTACGGGGTGGACAGATTACGAACATTGAAAAAAACCTGGGTCCGCCCCTTGCTGGTCTGTAATAAAACACAGGCACGCGCATGGACACAAGCAAATTAGAGTGTCAATTTTGCTTGGATATGCTACGAAGCATACCTTCCATACCGAGAACGTCGTATACCCGGTGTAGTCAAGTCTACAAAGGCATTACTACCTCCTTGCTTCTTTTGCTCAGTAATATGTGTCGATTATTTCTTCCGTAAAATATCTAATCCGTAGCATCCGTTGTAAATTGCACCGGACAGGTCTGGTAAATGCGCTGATACGCTAAAGCCTCGGGACAGGGTCTGACCTTCTCACGACATCTGCCATTGTGGGAGGAAGTATCTACCGTTGTATTTCCAGAACCTTGGAGCGATGCCAAGTCGTGCGCGCTTCTTTGACGTCTTGGTCGACTTTACACTAACACATTACTCTTTCCATTCTGTTCTCCAACTATGGGTGGTATAGTCTAAATAGTAAGAATCTTGTATTCTCTAACTAATGTTATCGACTGTGGCGATACTAAGAATGGACCTACCACTTAAGGTTACGTGTTATTAGGGTGGTTTACGTCACGTAGGGTAGGTGCCTACCTACACTTCCCCCGTCTTTAAAATATAGTCACGACCTCGTAACGAAAAGGAAAATTAACGTGTGGAAAATAATATTAACCTTAATAGGAATAACGAATAGTTTAAGAGTAGTAAAATAAAAATTACTTTAAGTATTTAAGGTTGTGTAAACGTATAGTAACGAAGGTATAAATAAAGTTTAAGTTATTTAATTAACGACGATATTAAGTATTAATATCGTTATATAAGTATTAGATTTATATAATAATTATTATTTAAAATTAAATAAAGTCGAAAAAAGTGTTTTTAATAATATTAAACTCGTATATTATTAGTCCGAGTAAAAGTTTTTCCGATTTTATTTATAATTAAACGTCGATATTTACCCGAAAGGTCGATAATAAAGTAGTATTAAACTACCGTATAATATTAATAAACGAGTTTAAAGGTTAAAAGTATTTATTATATTATAACGTTTAAAACGTTTAAAGTTTAATTAAATAAAATACCGTTTAAAGTTATTTAAATAAGTTAAGTATTACTTAAAAAGGTTTAATTAAGTTAAATACTATTTAAAGTTATTTAATTAAATTAAGTACCGTTTAAAGTTATAAAACGTTTATAAAAAAGTTAATTAAATTATTAACGTTTAATAAGTCGAGTTAAATTATTTTTAATTATATAAACGGAGTTAATTATATTAAAACGTTTAAAAGATTAACGTTAAAGTCGTTAAACTTTAAAAACTTAAGTTAAAAAGACTTTAATTAAGTTAAAGGTCGAATTAAAGTCTTTTTACGGGATTTATTATAACGTTTTACGTTACTTAGTTTTTTAACGGTCGTAAAGTTAAAACGTATACGGTTATTAGTATTTTAAATAAAACGAAATTAAACTAAAGTTTTATTATAATAGTTTAAAAAACGTTAAATAATAATTAAAATTTACTCGTTAACTTTAAAGGTATAAACCGTATAAAAGTTACTTACTTAAACGATATTAATTAATATATAATTAACTTTACTTTTAACTTTTAATTTAACGATACGGTTTATACTTTTATAAAAATTAGTTAACGAAGTCGGGGTTTAGTTATTTACGGTCTTTTTAATATAGTAAACTATTTAAACGGTTATACGTCGTTTATATTTCTTTTAACTTTCGAACTCCTTACTTTTAATTTAAAATAATAACTAGTTAAAGGTCTCGTTAAAAAAGAGTTAACACTTTTTAAACGTCGGGAAACTTATTTTAATATTAAAGTAAACGTAATTATTTAACGTAAGTAAAAATAACGGGGTAAATACCGTTTTAATATAATTTAATTAGTTATAATAATAATTATAAAGTTATAAAAAGGTAAGAGTAGGTTAATTATTAAAATAAATTAGTATTTATAAGTAAAAAAAACGGTAAACGAAAAACCGTAATTAAAAAGGTTAAGTAATAATTAAGTAAGTAAAAAGTAATAACGAAGTAACGGTACTTAAAACGCCCGTATAAAGGTAAGATTAGTTATAACAACGCTTTCTCCTCGTCGGTTAATTAATTATAAGTCTTTTATTACTAGTATTCGTATTCGAGGTTTTATTTTCCGATTAAAAATCGATTTTTTACCGAGTTAGTTTTAAATAAAATACTATAATAGTTACTAACGATAATAAACGTAATAAAAGAGACACGTTTACCGAAAAGATTAGTAAAAGTAAGTAAAAAGTGTTAAAAGTTAACGACGTTATAAATTTTAATATAAAATAGTAACTTAAACTTATATACTATTCGTTTAATACGTTTAACGATACGGAAAGGGTTAACGAAAGTTAATAAAAGTTTTAAAGACGTTAAAAAGGTAATGTCGTACCTTTTTTATAAACGTAATATTACTTATTAATTAAATTAAAAGAAAATTAACCGGTAATAAAAATCGTAATATTATTTTATCCGTAATACTACCTTATAAATTATATTAAAGGTCGAAAGTTTAACGAGTAGTAAGTTTACTTCCGATATAAAGTTTATTAAAATCGATAATAAGTTATTAAAAAAAAACTAAGGATAATTTTATTAAAGGATTAACTTATTACGGAAGTCTTATAGTTATTATATATAAATTATAATACCGGAAGTATTTAAGACTATTAATTAACGTTATATAAAGTATTAACGTAGTATTTAATATACGTTTAAATAGTTTAAATAAAACGTTCGACTTAACCGTTTATAAATAAGTAATAAACCGTTATATAAATAAGTGTAGTACCGGTTATTATTTAAAGGACGGTTTATATATTACTAAGGAATTTCGGGTCTTTATTTAAAATAAAAACCTTAAGTATACCT